GCGCTCTGCATGGGGCTGCCCTTGAAGACTACCCAGAGGATGTAACTGGTCCAGAATGAGGCGACACAGGCAGTGATGGGTGTGTTGCAATATGCGCACGTGTCCCTGGTGCTCCATGAGCTGACCTGGTTACAAGTTGGCTTCTGGGTGCAATTCAAGATGCTGGTTATCCCCTATAAAGCCCTGCATGGCCTGGAGTCCGGCTACTTGAAGGGCCACTTGTCTCCGCATGCCTCTGCCTATCTGGTGAGATCAGGTAGCGCGGAGGCATTCTGCAGCCCCTTGACCGATTGAACAATGTCACCTCGCGGAGCCAGGTGGTGGGCCTTCTTGGTGGCAGCTCCCGTCCTCTGGAACAACACTCCCCTAGAGATCTGCACTGCTGCCCCCCGCCCCCCACGGGCTTTCTGCAAACTGTAAGCACTCGCTTGTTTTCCCAGGCTTTGGGGTAGGATGCTGCTTGCACCCCCCTGGATTTTGGTTTGATTTCTGCTACGGACTTGCACCTTTTTTTGATAATAGGTTGTTCTCTTCTGACTGTACATGCCCCAGCATCCTTGAGTCGCTGGTCTGAAACTGAATTAAATGAATAAATAAAGTCCCAAGGCCTGGGCAGCCGTGGCTGAGCAGAGATGCGCCTCCGCGCACAGATTCAAAGTTCCCACCCAAGAGCCCGGCAACTGCTACCGGAGAAATCCAACCAGAAGGAAAGGCAGGCTGCCTGGCGGGTGAGGACAACCCTCACCGAATCCGCGCTGCGCAGGGAAGGTGCTGCAGAACAAAAGTAGAAGGAAGAAAAAACCAAGACTGGGGAAAAACCCGCTTGTTCAGTGGCAAGCCCAACCCCCCTTCTCCCCCCTTTGCCAACTGTCAGAGTTTGCAGGCGGCCAGAAACACACCGATAATGGCCTGTCAGCGGAAACAAACTCTGTCTATGCCCGAGCGGGCAGAGGCAGGAGCAGCCGGAACGGGGAGCTCTTCTAGGAGGTGCACAGCAGCGGCAGCTGTGCCTCCCCTCAGCTGCCCCTCTTCCCTTGGAGCAAAGCCGTCTTCCCAGGAGGGGCCAGGCTTCCCTGGCACGCCAGTGGCGGGATGGGGGGAGATAAAGCTCACTTCGGCTCGCAGCTTCTGCATTCCCTCTGCAAGGAGCCTGGGCACCTGTCTGTTCTTTCTCCTTCCCTTCTCTCTCCCTGTGCCAAATCCAGGACCTGTTTGGGGGGCGGGGATTGTATCCCTCTGGCCGGGAAGTCCAGCTGCTGTTACATCCACCGGCTCTAACGGCAGGACATCTCCCAGCCTCCCTGGTCAGGGGCAAGGCTAGCCAGAACTGCTGAGCAACGTGTGTGGGGGGGTCCCACTCTTGCAGCGCGGCCTCTGCGTTCCAGCAAGGGGGGCTGCTGGCGGCTTCCCCAGGGCCTCTAGGAGCAGGGAGGGGCGGAACTGCCCAGGCCTTGCACTTACGGAGGACAGAGGAGTCGCCTGCCCTGGGAAGGGGCTCTGCTGCCCCCGTCTGACAAGAGACAGGCTCTCCCCCCACCAGGAGGGGCAGGCAAAACCTGGCAAGGGGGAACAGGCAACTGCCCAGCCTCCTCCCCAGCCTCGGGCACAGCAATCCCTGGCTGCAGGCAGCGGCTTTCCAGCCACCCTGTCGGAGCCCGGCCAACCGAGGTGGGATGCTAAGCCGTGCTCTCTGCGGGCGCCGCACCCGGGGGCAGGGGCTGCAAAATCCGACTGCCCTGGACAAACGTGTTTCAGCCTTTGGTGGGATCCAGCAAAACCCTTCTGCCTACTTTTCCTGCAGACTGCTTTCCTTCTGGGGCCCTCTGGGGGCTACGGAGGGAGGGAGGGAAGGGCAGGCAAACGGCATGACGTAAATAAAGGGAAGGAAAGGAAAAGGAAAGAAAGCGAGGTGGCCGTCCTCAGAGGCAGCGGGCAGGAAGCTGCCCAACCCGGGATGCCTCCTTCACTCCCCCGGAGCCATGAGCAGTGCTTCTCCCCTTGCCTGGATCGCAAGGCATAGCAGCTGCAGCCGGGAAGGCAGCCCCCCCACCACCGTCGCCGCGCTCCCCTGCCAAAGAGAAGAGGAGGCCAGAGGTGGCTCCGAGCAATTACCCCAGTGGGAACCTGGCCAGGACGCCAGCCTCGGCTGCCAAGCGCGTCCCAGGCACCGCCACCAGCACGTCCGAGAGTCACGCCCCTGCCTGCCGGCCCCCCACTCCTGCGGCTGCACAGGGCTCCCTTGGGCGAGCCAAGCGCGAGGACACGGCCTCCCCCTGGCCGCTGCCCAAGCGACTGGCCTCAGCCGTGGCCTCAGAGCCCCAGCCAGATCCAAGCGAGGGGGAAGGCGTCCAGAAGGCCCCCTCGACCAGGCCAGCTCCTCTGAAGCCAAGGGGCTGGGAGGCCTCCCTCCAGGAGCAGCAGCTGCAGCCAGCAGCAAAGGCCAGGCAGGGGAGTGAAGGCAGGCCCAGGAGCAGGGAAGCCGGGGGGGCTGCTCCCCTCAAACCTGGTCAACGCAGGAGATTCAGGAAGGGCGGGGGGCCCCGATGGCTGCCCAAGCAGGACTGCGGGGCACGGAGGCTCTCCGGGTCGTCAGTACAGGCTCGAGGACAGCAGGCGGGTGCACATGGGAGAGCCGGAAAGCAAGGGCACGGTGGCGACCAGGGCCGAGTGCCAGCTGCCCCTGCCGAGCGAGGGATGCTGCGGAGCCCAGACCAGAGAGGGAGTGCTCCTGTCCCCCGGCTCGGTGGGACAGAGCAGCGCCACCCTCCAGCCGCCAGCCCTCAGAGGCGAGCCACCCCCAAACGCCTCTCGATCCACTTCCAGGGCTGCTCTTGACCTCGCTGGGTGGCAAAGGGGGGGCCAGCAGCTCAGCCTGCCCCCCCGCAAACGGCCTTGGCTCAGCCTGTCACTTCCGATCAGGCGGTAGCTCCGCCCAGGGGCTCTTTTGATCATTAGCACAAAGGACTTTTTTATCACTTGGCTCAATCCAATTAATCTGAAGTGAAAAACGTGGCGCTGACAAAAGACATTTGGACAAAGCCACTTCGCCCAGCGAGGGCCACGAAGCCGCACAGCCAGAGACAAGGCTGGCCAGCGGCTCCAATGCCTGGAGGGCCACCCGCGGGCAAAAGCAGGCTCTCTTTGGGCTGGGGCTGGGTGCCCTTTGGAGCCAGGCCGAGACAGCCGACCAGAAGGCCACAGCAAAGGGCACGAAGCAGATGCCGGGAGGAGCCCGGGACAAGGAGGCCCGGCCTAGCCCAGCCATCTGCCAGATCGGCAGCAGAAGCATCGTCGACAACGGGTCTGGTCAAATCTTAGAGGCAGGCAGATGTTCTTGCCAAGAGACCCCCCCGACTCCTCCCCAGGCAGATGCACGCGTGGAAGAGCACAGATCCTCTCCCGGCCTCTAAGCCTCACAGCCAATCCGGGAAAGGGCTGCCATTTTAAATCAGCCGGTCACTCCTGATGCCGGTGCCTTTTTCCTCCCGTCCCCCCCGTTCCCCTTGGGTCATTTCTCCCAGGCCAAAGGCCTAAGAGCGGGTGCCTGCTGTGGACTGGCACACCTGGCTGCTGCTGGGGGTACTCCTCCCACTGAAAAACAAGAAAGGGATTCCTCACAGCACCACCAAGGACGCCAAGAGTTGCTAAAGGGTTGCTAAAGGATCCCGCTTGGGTGTTGCGTGGACAGAAAGGTAGACAGACGGGCCAGCTTCAGAAGGGGACGGCTGCCACGGGGGCAGGGAGGCAGGGCAGCAACGTTCACCTACGGCAAAGCCTAGACAGCAACCTCAAAATGCCCCTATGATGGGTCAAGAACACGCAAGGGGAAACAGACCATGTGGCCCAGCAGGAGAGGGCAGGAGCTCACGTGGGGAAGGAGGAGGGGCACTGCAAGGCAGTGAGTGCCCTCCTCATTCAAGCACAGCTGCCTGAGCATCTGTCTGCGCCTGTGTTCCCTCCCCGCTCGCAAGCAACTCAGGGAGGTGAGAGCTGCCCGCAACTGGCTCGTGGCTCTCCTGTGAAGACGGAAGAGAGAATTTCCAGGGCTTGCCCCAGCAGTCAAATTCTGTAACCGCCATGACTTTTGCAAATGGACTTGCAAATTTACTCCACTCGTGCTTCCGCTTTTGAGTTCAAGGGGATGCAGCCACTTGTCACATCCTGAAACCCCCTCCCCCCCCCCACAAGCGCGCACACGCACACACACACACACACACAAACCCTCTCTGAACCCTCCTGAGATCCCCAGGGCAAAGGATAGGAGAAGAGCCAATTCAACTGGGCCAGGAAGCCCTACAGGGAAGCAAGGAGCAAGGTGCCACCACCTATTTGGGGCCAGGGCCTCCCCTTCTCCATTACACAACGTGTGTCCATCCCTCCTCCCAAGACAGACTGTGGGAAAGGAGTAAAGCTGGGTCAGGGAGCAAGTCAACAGGCTCCTAGGAGGTCAATTAGGAGCATGCTCCAGGCCCCACAAAGGAGCAACTGGGGGGCGGGGACCGCTTTGCTCCAGCTGAGGAACAAGGTGGCTGCTGTTAGAGAAGGTCACAGACCGAGCACCAGGTCGAGGGCAGGCCTGCTCCCAGCTCTGGGCACTCACCTGCGCGCAAACACGCAGGAGTGCTAAGCCCCCAGCTGGCAGGCAGTTAATGAGGAGGGGCAGAAGCGCCAAGGAAGGCCGTTCCTCTCCCCCCAGGCCCCCCGCCAGCAACAGCACCCAGGGCTTGAAACAGGGATGTGTGACATCACCTTGCTCCAGATTGGTGTGGTGGGGGGGTGCCTGCAGCGGAAGGAGAGAGATTTCCCAGGCCCGGACAGCCTCAGAAAGCAGCACTACTTCTCAGCGAGGCCCACGCGCCCCCTTCCTCTCCCTGAGTGGTCCCACGGCAAAAACGGGGCAGGAAGATGACCGCCACGCAGGGCTCCCTGGCAGAGCTACTCCCGCCTGACCTTGGTGCCCCCAGCCCCCCCTCTGCCCTCACTGGACTGGCGCAGCTCACCTTCTTCCCAATCAGCTTCTTGCGCAGGAACTCCCGGGCCTCGAACATGTACGGGATGTCGTAGAGAGGGCGGAGTTTTCGGTTCTTGTCCTGGGGAAATGAGAGGGGGGGTCAGCAGCACGATCTCCATACAGCCCAGGGCCCGGGCACTGCGTAGTGCTCCAACTCCAGTCCACCTGCACGCCTGCTTGGCACCCGGCCTTCCTCCTCACCTTGTAATCAGCGAGCTTCTCTTCCAAGCTGCCTTCCTCGCTGCCCCTCCCTCGGCCCCCCTCCTCTTCCCGGTCCTCCCTCCTCGAGCCCCTCTCCTTCTTCCCAGGAAGCTCCTGCTGGAAGTCTGCCAGCAGCACACAGAAGACCCATCTGAGCTGAAGCCACCACCAGTTCCACCGTGCCCCTGCCACGGGTCAGCCCACTCCTTCCGTTTGCCACCCGCCAGCCTTGGCACTTGGCACTGCTATGAAGAAAGAGTGGGAGATCTGGACCACCCCTGCCCGGCCCCCTGAGCACCCAGAACGAACAGTTCCTGGCAGGACAGGCTCCAGCCACAGGTGTCCCAGGCTCCCTTGCAGGGACAGGCCCCTGAGGCTGAGCCACGACTTGAGCAGCGCTCTCCAGCTCACCCATGAAGGCTGCCCTTTGATTGTGGAGGGCCAGCCGCCCCAGCTGCGTACACACCCCCTCGCCCACCTGCCAGCTGATAAAGCAGGGGGCCAGAGTAAAGAGGGAGCGTTTGTACAAAACAATTCATCCCACTGTGTTTCGACAGTCTCTTTTTAAAACATGCCCCTGAACATTGTTGGCTGAAACAAAGATGGGAGGGCCAAAATCTGCACAGGAGTTGAAAACAGCCCTTTCCATTTCAGTGGGTGGACAACCCGGGAGCGCTGGATTTCATCTGATCTGGCCTCACTGAGCTTTCAGGCACTACCAAAATAATGCATTAGATATTTATACAGGCTTCTAGAAACCCAAAAGATTCAATAGGCAAACTTATAGGAGAACAAAGACCTCCTGGGCACTCTAGAAAGCAAGTGGACTGGAGAGGACCATAGGACTTGCCCCTCTGTTTTGGAAACAGAGATGGGCACTGACATCTTAGAAGAAACACAGCTTCACCCCAGAATCATTGTGGAGGAAGGCAATACTAGACACACAAGGGAATTTTAGAAACATGCTGTCTTCCCCAGATGAAGAATGGAGGCTTGGTGGAAACCAAAAGTCATAGTTTTCTTCTAGAGAGCAAGATTTTGAAACAATAAAAATGTCTTTTTTAATGAGAGGGCTGAAATAGATCACCTTTCCTCAGAATGGCTGAGGATTATAGGTTGTCCTCATTTAGCGATCACAATTGGGACCGGCAACTCAGTTGTTAAGCAAAGGAGTCACTAAGTGAAACAGAGACTGAGCTTACAATCTTATTTCAGCTTTTCTTTGATTTACAGACCTGCGAAGCTTGTAAATGCAAGGATTGATCACAAGGTTACTTTTTCATCACTGTCATAATTGTGAACGGTCGCTAAACAAGGTAGTTGCTAAACAAGGGCTACCTGTAGTTAAACCACTAGGACAGAAATACAGCTAGGAGATTATGCATTCAGGTCAGGAGATAAAGTCCTCAGCATGGCTAATTAGCAGGTCCAAGAATATAAAAAGCAATGCAATGTTGCTAAAAAGAAATGCAAGATGACATTAAGAAAGGCAAAAAGGGATTTTGAGGATCATCTTGCTAATGTCAAAATGCACAATAAAACCTATTTTAAATCCTTCAGAAACAGGAAATGGAGACGGTGAGTCTATTAGATAACCCAAGAAGAGGTGAGATAGAAAGAGATCGCAGTATCATAGAGACGGTGCATTGTTTTGTGTGGGCCTTTCAAGCCAAAGCCCTCTCTATCAGCGTCATGCTCCAGCTCAGCTTGGCCGCCACGCTCTTTGCAGCTCTCCCCAGTGGGGGAACGCCTATCAAATCCGCCTCCCCCGGGGCTGCCCAAAAGCCCAACAGGGGCGCTGCCTGGCCCCATCATAGCACAGAGGGTCCGGCCAGACTCCTCTCAGGCAGCTCCTCCAAGACGGCCCTGGAGAGCAGCTCCTACGTCCTCCCACCAATCCTGCTGCTAAAGGGTTCTGCTGACAAGCTCCTTAGTTCGCTGCATAAGCAGCCTGACCTGAAAACCTTGCTGGTAACACGCCAACGGCTGGGCAGCCATCTAGCAAAACTACAATGGAACGCAAAGCGTACTGGAAGGAGGAGAACCAACTGAGTGCCAAAAGCTATTCCCTGGCATCTGGACGTCCTTGAAGGGACTCTCTCTGTTATCTCCAACACACAGCGCTGGACTCTGCTCTGAAAAAGCTTTCACACAAGATTAAGCCTCCATTTGCAGAAGTCTCATCTGAAAGGGGACTCTCCAGAGACCGCTCTGCTGTTCAACTGCATTTCAAGCTGCAAAGCGGGGAGGCTGAAGGCTTCCTGTCTTGGCACTAGTGCCAAGTTGAAAAATGGGCTGAAGCAGCAGATGGAGTGCTTCAAGACACCCAGATCAGGATCCACGTGGCCCCAGTGCCCCGGCTCCTGCGGTAGATTCTGGAGCCCTAGTTGAAGGCAGGCTCCTGGCCCTCACAGCCCTCGAGGAAGAAAGCTCTGGAGAACCACCTTCTTGGAGGGCAGGAGCGGCCAGGGTGCAGCAAGGCGCATACTTCCCTACTGACTGAAGCAGTCCCAATGGTGGGCACGCAGCAGCAGCTCAATTGCCGGAGTGAGCAAGCAGGGCCAGAGACTTGCTCCAGCACAGCCCTTCAAGCCAGGATCCCGCCCCCTCCGTCAGCTTCCTCAAACTATAGCGAGATGGGTCCCCAAAGGGACGCTCGGCCCCCTTCCAGGACCGAAGCAGCAAAGCAGAGAGCCGGCACGAGAAGGCAGACGCTTCATTTGCCGGGCAGGGGGGCTTCTCCAACGCCTTCTGCCGCAAAGGCCAAGCGCTCCCCTTAGGAAGAGAGGCTGCCTGCAAAGAACGATATGTGCCAGGCAGGTAATTAAAAGGTTCAAAATCAAGTCTACGTGGATGGAGTCTCACACACCAACTCATATCTCTACATGCAAATTGATAAATAATTTCACAGACGATAAAGCCACTCAATTAATCTTCCACCCAAGTCACACCAAATAAAATCAATTAATTTGCATCTTGTTCCCGCTTTATCCCACACTGGTAGCTACTCTTCAATTACAATTAACTGACTGTATTAGTTGTGCTAAAGTGACAAAATGTACAAAAGAAGAACACCTCTTCACACACACAAGTGAAGAGAACATGTTTTCCACCAGGGTGGAGTTCCAGAATCTGACGGGGTGTAAATCCCAAAGGAGCCTGCCAGAGGAAAAGCTGGGTATAAATCCACCGAATGCATAATTAAAATAAATACTGGGCTCGCCCAGATTAATTTTCCAACAAGTCTTGCTTTTCTTTCACTGATTCATTCATTATCTTTTACTTATTTATTTATTAAGTGGATTTATATGGCTGTTCATCTCAAAAATACGATTCTGGGTGGCTCGCAACAGATTAAACATAATAATAGAAGGGTGGAGACCTCGAGGGCTGCTCCCAGCGCCCACGCCCCGGGACGCATCCTGGTCTTCAACGCTGTACGAAAGGCAGGCGGGGCTGGGGCCGGGGGCGGGGCCA